GAATGAATGAATGAATGAAAATGAATGAATGAAAATGAATGAATGAATGAATGAATGAATGAATGAATGAATGAATGAATGAATGAATGAATGAATGCATGCGTGCCGCTAAAGCTCTTTATCAGATAAAAAAGGCAGGGAACTCTCCCACTATCTATTGTGCTGCCTTCTTTACCAAAAGCAATGGAGAAGGGTATTTCGGACAGATTTTGACATTTGCGCAGGTAAAAAGTATTTCTCTGAAGATGCACTGGCAACCATCCAATTGTGATCTTTATGTTACATTCCAAGCAATGCTGTCTGCTAAGCCAGCCAAACACATATGCATAGACATTCGAAATGCTATCACAATTGATTGTGCAAATTATATGCTTATTTGATTTACATATAATGTTTTAATGTTGCAAACTGGGGCTTTTTCAGGTTTGTTGTTTGTATGTTATCATCTCTAATAATAATGGTGTGTGTCTGCATTGGGCACCATAGGTCCAAGAGAGAAGCCCTGAGATCCGAAGTTTCACTAGAGGAAATGCCTTAGAATTGTTTTGCTTTTTTAGTTTATTAATTTATTTTTGTTAATTTAAATCTGCCTTTAGCTTGCAATACTGTTATCACTCAACAGATGACAGACTTCCCAAACCATCAGAGAGAAAGCTGCAATCAGTCATCAGATATTAATTCCTTTGAAGGGCCTCTACGCTGCTCCATGTGGGCAGTGGCATGTCAGGGGGGCAAATTCCAGGGACGACTTTTTCTTCCTTCTGCAAGGCCTTCAAACTCTTCAAAGGGTTAAGAGGGAGGAAGGGAGGGAAGGAAGAAGGGAAAAAGCGAGGGAAAGGTATGCTGCCAAAAGTTATGCTGTGTGTAATGCATGCCACTGACCATGCTGGTTGGGGATTCTCAGAGATACAGATCAAAAAAACTAACATTTCCAAGCTCTGCTTATGTCCCATCAAGCCCAACACACCCTGTCAATAGCAATGTATGGCAGTCTATCACAAGCTTTATTTATTAGGAGCCTCCTTGAAGAGCGGGAATTTGCTGATGAGCAAAATGGCCGAACTGTCCTTTTAGGACCAAACATGACAATTATTTCTAACATTTGAATTCATTTTTAATTTTTACCTATATTTCATATGTGTCCATAATTTTAAATTATGCAATGCTCTGATACAAATAAAGATCTATTTATCCCATTGATAAGATTTTTTTCTCCCAGAAATGGGACCCAAGGAGGTTTACAGGATAATTTAAAATAGAAGATTAAATTATGATAAAATCGCAAACATTAAAATAGAATAAAATTCAATTATATGATAAAAATTGGATTAAAATTGCAACACTTTGCAATCAATTTAAATACGCCACCTAATTTTGCTGCTTGCCCACAATGTGAAAACAGATATGTCATGTGTTTGGCAAACTACTTTAAATGGATTCACAAGTTTGTCAAATCTGATGTAACATGTAAATGGTCATGCAAATATATATTATAGTATATATTATAGTCTAGTACAGATATTTGGAAAAGAGTCGGGGGGGACTGTTACTCTTTTATTTTACTACGCACCCCTTTCCCTGTTCAGTTACAATGTTTGAAAGTTATGAAGATATATCTAACTTCACAGATTTAATGGACCAGGGCCAATTGGCAGGGACAGGGGAATATTTCAAGAAACATTTGCTGAGCGTTGACAAGTTGTAAGAGGAGATCCACCAACTTATACTCCAGTGATTGAAGCCAGACTGGAAAATACATGTGGTTTTCCCAGATTAAACTGTGCATGTAATTAAAGCCTGTGTTATGAAGATGGCAGCACAGAAGTACCGCCAATTGATTTCTGAGCTAAAATACAGAGTGAGGCAATTATTGTACTTGGCATCATGCTAATCCATTTAACTGAGAGCCCAATAACAGGAAACCATTGTTACACAATATGTAACTCGGATTCGGGTGACTGAAACATGATCTTAAAAGCTTCTCTAGCTTTTAGAAGTCAATATACTTCTTGTGAAAAGGAAGGGTCAGCAAAATGGAGCTGTTACAGACCTTGCTTAAACCTAAAGAAACTGGCCTCGTAGACAATGCACTAAGACAATAAAATTAAAGGATGAACTCTAGCTAAATAAAGTAATGGTCCTCCAGTGGAAACGCAAAATACAATTAGCATTCACATGCTTATTTTAAGATCAATATTTTTTTTCCTGCTGATTTGCTGAAGAGGCTTTTATGAAGTTTAAGCAGAGTTCATTGTTAAATACACTTTACCTACAGAGGATATGGTAGGCCATATTAATTCCTTTTTCTTTTGGAGATCAATAAGAAGGTTGCTGAATTGTGTGTAAAGTGCTTGGCATGAAGTAAAGGAAAAGACATTTGTACTCTACCGTTCCATGAAGCATGCTCAAAGATCCAGTAACCACCGCCTCCACAGTTGAGGAAAACCATTATGGTAAGAGAAAATCTGAAGAGAGAAAATATTCAATATATATATAGAACAATTCGCAGAGACAGAGCTGTATTAGCCTATAGTGAGGATGAGAACAGGTGCATGATGAGAACAGGTGCATGATAAGGAGCCTGCCAGGGAGAGGGGGCACTTCTGCAGTTTCCCTTCAGTTTGGCATTTAGGCAATAGGCTACTAACCTAATTATTTGTAGATCTTGTTTTGTTGTTTTTTAATGTTGTTTTTTGAAAACATTGCTTAAAAAACATGAATTGCATCTCTGCAATACCTGGTCTGAGCCCACGTGTGCCTTGCAAGGTGACAGAGTAGTGGCACACCTACACATATTGCTCCCTCTTTTTACAAAACATACATTTGTCTGTTCTTTAGTCTCACAGAGGTGCCTGTGTGACATTACTTAGCAAGCATCACATTCCTGAAACTTCAAAAGGCCAAGGCCACAAAACAAGCACAGGTCTTGTGAAATAGTATTTGTAGAAATCAAAGCATTCACATTGTAATGAACAGAAGCTTGCCGAGGTCCTAGATAAGGACAGTTAACGGAAATTGATAATTTTGTTCATTTTGTTTACTAGGGGGAGATCACCAGCTGCTCTTTTAATCTGCCTTAGAATACAAAAATATATTGCTTTTGGCATCAGATTTTTTAAAAGGAGACAGAAGAGATTAATTAGTTTTAGTTTAATGAATAGCTTTCATACTTGCCCTTGGAAGGATAATGCACTTAGGTGCTAATAAGGTAGAGTTTTCTAACAAAAAACAAAACAAAACCCAGTGTCATCACCAGGAGTCAACACTCTTTGGTGTTGGTCTTACAGAATAGGAAGAACTGTCTTAAAACAGATGGGTATTATTATTTTGTCTTTCTTTATAATGCAGTAGTTCCTGAGATGAGAGCATAGCATTTCATCAATGCACAGTGCTGATGCAGGCAGAAGCTTTCCATATGACCCCACCATAGTGCACAGGTGTCATGGTGGTTCATAGAGTACAGCCATTACATATTTTATTTTACTTAACGGCTCAGGCAGGAAATGGAGGACTATATTGCAGATCAATGAATGGGAAAATGGAGTATGACAACCTGAGGTCAAAAGCAGACGGATAGATGGCATTAATTAATTCTTGCACTTGTTCAAAAAAAGAGCGCCACTTTTTACAGCTGTGAGGGATGAGAGAGTGACTCTTCCCACCACCATAACTAATTACAGAAAAGCCTGCTAGCGTGCCATTTCAAGACTCCTATTTTTTCTGCAAAATATGCAAACTCTATAAAGCACTTTCCTAAATATTTGAAAACAGGAAGCACTAGTAGGTCAATTTTAAAAATATTGATATTAAATGCTGAGTTAGGGAGAACCTAACAGTTTTCAACAAAGGAGAGATGTTCAAGGAGTGGTTTACCATTCCCATCCCCCAATAAATTTCCATGGCCAACCAGGGACTGGAACCCAGGCCAGGTCTCTTGAATTCTGCTTCAGCATTCCACCTGCTATACCACACTGGCTCTCTAACATTAGATAGATTAACTCTTAATATTCATAAGTACCATAGGAGCCTAAAATTAAAATTTTATTTTTCACTTTTCAAGATACAGGGATCTTATGAGCTTGCCCATTAACCTGATAACCTGCTATGCCTCCCCTTTTTCTATTTTTTTTACCCGTGCCTTTTTCCTTACCTATAGAATGCAAATCTGTTTTTAGCCTTTTGCCAGACCTTTGACTATGCTACAGTTCATCTCATTTACCACAGAAGCCATGCCACTACTACTGTACAGCCTAATCATCTTGCGATCTTGTCACAGAGCACCTGGCAATGTTTCCAATAAGTAAATTACACCAGGACACTTTTGTAGCAGCCTAACGTCCTATACAGATTGCCTACTGAAGGTAAAAGAGCCAATGTGTTGTATTGGACAGAGTGAAGGTCTAGGTAGGCCTTGTGAGACCTGGGTTCAGATTTTCCCTCAGCCATGGAAATTTACTGAAAGGAGGTAATAGTAAAACTACTCCTTATATACTGTATCTCCCATTCCTTGAACGGCCTATTGGGGTCACCATAAGTCAGATGCAACCTAATGCCACATAACAATAACAATTTGTGGTAATCATGTAGAACCATTCATTTCCTGTTTTGCTGATTTATGTTGATCTATGAGTGTTACAGAACACACTGATAAACTACATGTTGTGATTATTCATTTCTCTCTTTCTCTTTCTCTCATGGGTTTTGCTTCAGCTTCTTCCACAAACAAATTAACACTTTTGTCTCATTTTCTAAGCCATTATATGCCTTTTATTGTTGGTGCTATTAGAAAAGAGCCCTTTTATGCTTGCTTGCTTGCTATCTCATCTGATCCAACACTATCAGTCATATTTTTAGGGAGTGTGTTATTGCTCATAAAAAAATCACATAAGAATATTTGTACCACTTGTCTTTCCACACTAATGGTCAGGTACATTAGACAATATATTAACCATTCTGCTGCAAGTATTTTGCAAGATGGACTTGATAAAGAAGGGAATATTATATTCTTCTACTTATATGAATACACCCTTGTATTTCCGATCACCATGTACAGATGTGAAAGCTGGATAGTTAAAAAAGGTTATAGGAAAAAAACATTTTTTTTTTTTGAAATGTGGTGCTGAAACAGAGCTTTGCAGATACCCTGGACTGTGAGAAAGACAAATAATTCAGTCCTAGATAAAATCAAGCCTGAATGATATCTGGAGGCAAAAATGTTGAAGCTGAGTGTAGCGTTCTCTATTTATTAGGTCTATTGTTCATGTTATATTATGTAATGGTTGATGTCTGTTATGCAATGGAATGATTCATGCATATTAATGTTGCTAAGAGGCGGAGCCAAGAGAGATGCTATAAGAGGCGGAGCCTGAGTCAGTCGGAGTCAGTAAGAGCAATGTAAGAGTCAGGCAGTAGAGAAAAGTCAGAGAAAGTAATAGAGTGTGTAGTTTGGGAAATTCTGAGGTGTGATTAGCTACTGAAGATATTTATGACTCTCTGTACTCAATAAACCAAAGTTTTATTTAAAAGAACTTGAAGAGTGGGCCTGAATCTTTCTGAGATAATGGTGATTTAGGGATCACCTGGTGGCAGCAGTGTTAAAGAGGAGAGTGTTTGCCTTCGCGTGCTCTGAGGCTTGAAGGTCAAGCAAAAAGGGGCATGAAGGTGGACGCCACACTGAGGCTGTCCTACCTTGGGCACATTGTGAGAAGGCAAGATTCTCTGGAAAAGAGAACAATGCTGGGAAAGGTTGAAGGTAGCAGGGGGGGGAAAGAAGACCAAACGTGAGCTGGACTGACTGTTTAAAGGAAGCCACAGGCTTGAGTGTTCATGAGCTGAGCACAGGTGTTGGGGACAGGGCATTTCGGAGAGCACTCATTCATGGGGTTGCCATCAGTGGGAAGCATCTTGACGGTACGTAACAATGGCAATTTATATGAATACTGAAGAAAATTCAATACTTCAAAAAACCTCCAGTTTATGAATGCGTGATATTTAAAAAAATATATGGAGTACAGAAGGTAAGAGGAGTGACAAAAAAGGGGGGGAAGGAGAACATAAAACATACTGTAATCAAGTTGCATTGTTTGTGTTACAATATCAAGGCCACTTTTCGCCTTTCTACAGTTTGATTGCCCTTCCAGATTTCTATTTGTAGTTACCTCTTATTTTAATTATATGTTAATCAAGCTCTATCTATTGACTCAAGCCATTTATATAATACAGTAAATCCCATCATTCAGTTGCCTTTTGTATTGGACAGTCTTTCAACACTTCCGATAGAATATCCATTTCTGCCGTTTCCCAAATTCTTGCTTCGGTATCTCCGATTTCTTCCAGTTCTTAGCATAAAGAATTTTGGCTGCAGTAACTATATGTATAACCAGATAACTCTTTGTCTTATTTATATTATCTGGTATATTTCTAAGAACATGATGAAATGAGTTAAAGGAAGCATGCTTTTCACAGACCTTGTGTCAAAATTCAATAGAATTATATGGTATGATCTAATCCTTAATTCTTTTGTGGGTCAATATCTGAAAATGCCATTAGATACATTATTTTTAATCCCAGGAGACAATGTTGCAATTTTCAGATTATATCAAAGGTTATTAAGGATGTTTCTGGTGCCTTTAAATGAATATATGCTTTCAGAAAACCTGTTCACAGAATACTAAAAAGCTCTGGATGAAAAATAAACAACTTGAAGTGAAAAATTGATGTCTAGATATTCAGATATAACACTTTGGGGAGTGCAGCATATTCATATAGCATTTCAGTCTCTTAATTTCACCATTATATTGCAACCTTTCAAAAAATTTTGTGGCCTTCTTCTCATTCACACCTTGTGTCCCTTAACATAGATTCTTGCAATTATGTCCATTAGTTGCCCTAGTAACAGAGGCAGAGGTTAAGTCATTCGTTAGAAGAGGTTCATCCCAAATTATGTTATTATACCAAATTATTGCAAGCCTTTTAACTAAAGCACCTGCTTTTCTATTCAGCTAGCATCAGAGGTGGTAAGTGGACCTGATCACATTTACAATATTTAGATAGGATCCATCTTCTAAGATCCAATTATAACAAATTACTTGACACATACTACCATGCCAGGCAAAGGGAATAAGTAAATTTTGAAACAGATATAGTTCAATGCACAATGAACTGTGAGTTTACCAGTGATGAGGGAAATGAAACTAGTTCCTTCATTTTGGACTTTATTCTAATGTCAAGGTATCAGTTAATACCATGTGCCAACTATTACATGAACAAGATATCTTCTGGAAAACAAGATTCTAATTGCAATACAGTCAATTTTTTTTTCTCCTGAGATTTCAGTTTTAAATAATTTCAGAACCACTGAATTGTTTTCTGCAAAAGTATACAAATGTTTATGTTTGTACATAGTATGTTATATGTCATTGAGCAGCAAATAGTCTCAGGGCTTGATCACAACTGGCAAAAGAAC